ATTGATGAAATTCTAAAGTTATAGGATGATAAATAAATAAGTGAAAATAAATGTGTTAGCAAAAATTATGCTAACTCCCAATCGACAGGAATTAAACAACAATTTTAACTAAACAATCAGACAAGAACAATTAAGCAATTGTGGAATTGGTTCAAATGCCTCAAAAAAATGAAGATTTATTTGGAACAATTGAAAATTACAAAGCAAACAACGCAAACAACAAGTAATTCCAAGATGAAACTATTAATGCTCACAAAAGTTTACAAGGATAGAAATTATAGAAGAAACTACTCCTAAACCAAGAAAGTTACTCCTAGATTATGTTAAGTCTAAAACTAAGTTGTTGTATTGTTGTTGATGATCCCCTCTTTTTGCAAATTTTTTGCCTTTATACTTCTTCTTTCCCACGCCCCTATGATCTCCTCAATCTGCAACTGTTTCCTAGCTTCTAGGCATTCCAATCACATTAGACCTTCATTTTTGTCTGTCAAACGCCCATTCTTCAAGTTATTATCTGCCTACAAGCCCTTCTAACCTTCAAGAGAGAGAGAGAGACTCACACTTTGTTCATGCTTCCTCTTGAAGGACTGCCCACTGAGTTCATGGTCATTGCCAGTAACTGCTCAATCACCAACACTGTTTAATGCACATTTATCATTCTCTCTCATATCGCTTATCCTCTTTCACAACTGTTAAACCCTCACTTGATTTTGCTACATGTCATATCCCAACTGGTCCACCTATTGATAAGAACCAGCAAAAATGGGTGCAAACTAAATGGTAAATGTATAATTTTAGTGTTTTAGTCTTATTATACTCAATAAATATAATTGATGTGGGTGAAATAAAACAAGGCAAAAAAAGAAAAACCCGTCTCCACCTCACTTTCTCATTAAAAGATGAGAAAACTTGTGCAAGGTGATGAGAGGAATGCGGTCTAGGATAATTGTCATTGTTGTCCATAGTGAATTTTGAAATGCAAAGTTAACAACACATGTTTATGTTAAAAAGTAAGGGTGCTTGCAGACTGGATTGGGTTGGATCGGGTGATTTTTCATCCGTTTGAATTTAGGTGATTTTGTCCATAGCGAGTTTTGAAATGCAAAGTTAACAGCACATGTTTATATTAAAAAGTAAGGGTGCTTGCAGACTGGATTGGGTTGGATCGGGTGATTTTTCATCCGTTTGAATTTAGGTAGATTAACAAAAAATCAATTTGCATATGCATGTTTAGTTAACGGATGCGGATTGTGCAAACAGTGCGAGTTGAGGGTGGATACAGCTTGGGCTTTACAGTTTTTATGCCTTTTTTTTATCTATTTTTCAGTAATTCTTTACTATTTTACGTTCAAAATTTGTTATTGTTCATTTTTTATAATAAAAATACAAGCCCGATTGTCATACTTTTATAAATAGTAAATATAATTACTAAATAAAAAGCTTCTGTTTTTTAACACACAAAGTATAAAATCATAACATTAATTTTTTAAGAGTGTTGGTGGAAGGGTTGGGTTGGTGGTTTTTCTTCTACCATCCATCAAAATTTAAGCAGATTGAAAAAAATGCATCCGCATCCATTTGTTTTTGTAGCAGATTGGTTCAGGCCATTTGATTCTGACTGATTGGATGGATGCTTGTCCACCCTTACTAAAAAGCCAAAAAGTTAAAAATGTGTCAAACAATTTATTTTTTTAGCATTACTTTTTTGGGTAAATTACCCTAACTTATCTTAAGATTCAAAGAAAATATAACAAATCTCATAATTTTAGCATAATTACACTGGTCCTTATTTTAGTAAGACTAAAGAGATCAATAGTAATACACATGATATGAAGATATAAGAATAAATAAGTAAAATATATATTTTAATATAAAAGATATGACAACATCTCTATATGATTAACAAAATATTGATAACCTAACATAATTATGTTGAATTATGAGTCTTATTGTATTTTCTTTCTTCTAAATTTTAGAAAAGCTCAGTGTAATTTACCCTAACTTTTTTGTAGGTCTATTTTTAACCAATAAATTAAAATTTTAAACTAAGTTTTTATCTAACTTCCAGACGATGACTTAAAATAATTTGGTTCAACTTATAAACTAAGTCCAAGATCTTCAAGTAATTATTTGAGTAATAATTGATGTTAAAATTATCTAGGTAAAAAAAATGGAAAAATTAGTCTAAAGTCCCTCTCTTATTTTTAGTAATGGAAAAGATTCACAATATTATTTTTTGATGTCTAAGGTCCCTTCCATCCATCACAGAGAAATTTAATATATCTCACGCTGTTTGGGTCTCTCTCCCGCTTTTCTCTCTCTTGCTCTCTCTCTACAAGTGAGACAAGAACCATGGCAGACCTTATTTCTCTCTCTCAAATCTGATCGATTCCCCTGCAAATCACAACTAGGAAAACTAAAAATATCTTCAACGTTCAGCGGCGATGAAACTTTTCGACTCTTCTCTTCTTCACATCCTTGCATTCCTCTCTATTTTTCACTTTATTCTCAGCCACTTGTCGAAGCTTGATCACGACATCGGCGATGGAGTAGAACTTTTGCATCTGTATAATCGAGATCCCATTCAATTGCCGCCGGTGGATCGCAATGAACGCTGAATCGATCTTCCGCCGCCCCAATTTGTTTCAGGTAACAAAAATTATGTATTCCTAATTTCCTAGGCTTATTCAATTAATCTCTTTCTTGTATAGCCCTTTACTTCTCACAAGTATGACAGTCCAAGAAAAGAGGCAAATAAAAAATAGCTTAGAGTCCAAGAAAAGCAGAGAGGCCAGAGAAATTTCAAAATTTCTCTGGAGAGGTAATGTTATGGAAAGGTAGTGAAATTTCTCTGGAGAGTGGGAAGTATATGGGAAATATATGGAAGGCAGAGAAATTTAAAATTTCTCTGGAGAGTCCATGATAGGCCAGAGAAATTTAAAGAGGTAATTTTGTGAGAAGGCCGGTTTTAACATACCTGGGGGCTATCCGCGTGCGTTAAACAATTCGAACTCCTGAGATCTCTTTGATCTGGTCTCACGAGTGCAATATGAAACATAGATGAAAGTTCAGATTTGACAACTTTTAAAAATCCATTTTATTGCAAAACCTTTTGTCAAAAATGGACTGCGTCATCAGATCTCAGAGTCGCCACCTAATATTTATTTTGGAAAAATTAGGAAACCCATGACTCGTGCCAAGGCCACTATTCGTCATAACGAAAGATGCTTGGCTCGGAACCTTAGGTATGAGAGGGAAATGTCAATAATAAGTACCCCCGCTCACCCGATCAAAGATCGGCCTCCACTAAACCATGATATGAATTTTATTTACTTTATATGTTCATATTTCAATTATTTAATAAATCCTAAAATTTACTATGTGAAGCATACCACTATAGACTATGTCATTCATTTTGGAATAATTTGATTTCATGTAGTTTTGAAAGAGTTTTGGAGATGTACAACCCGAATAAATTGAGTTTACAAGCATAAAAATCAACACTATTCCAAATTAAGCAATACAATCTCCATCCACTGGCATTCATACAGTTATATCAAATAAGCAAGTAGCCACATAGTAGGATGCTTAAATATAATAAGAAAAATGCACACTAACAGAATGCTAAAGCATAAAAACTTACATATTTGTTGACGTCCCTCGAACAACTACAATTTTGGAGATGTACAACCCGAATAAATTGAGTTTACAAGCATAAAAATCAACACTATTCCAAATTAAGCAATACAATCTCCATCCACTGGCATTCATACAGTTATATCAAATAAGCAAGTAGCCACATAGTAGGATGCTTAAATATAATAAGAAAAAATGCACACTAATAGAATGCTAAAGCATAAAAACTTACATATTTGTTGACGTCCCTCAAACAACTACAAAACAAAGTTAATAAAACATGCATGATCTTATATACAAAATCCTAATGCAATTCACTCATGAGATGCAACTAAAGATTCAGCTTCTAAGATATGACATGTGAATCATCTCAAAACATGAGGTAGTGCACATAATCACATTGGAATTGATTAAATCCACAAATACAAACTTAGCCGAATTAAGATACATGAAATATGGATGCAAAGCATGAACATAATGAAAAACAAAATATGATGCGTATTCACAAATAAAGAAAGCAAGTAAAAGAACGGGATAGAAAGAAGCGGGGCGGGAAATTATTACAACATTTTAAATATTACAAATCCGAGGGAGATGAATAAATATTACAACATAATATAAAAAAAAAATTCACAAACACTCAAAATGAAATAAACATGATAAAATAGCAGCTTCAAGTACCTCAAAAACCATCGGAGGTTGTCGAAAGGCTGCCCGATTTTGTCTAGAGGTTACAGGCACGGTCATGAAGGTTATAGGGGCGATGGTGTATTTTTAGGTGGCTACCCTGCCAACTAACGGGTTGAGTAGTTCGATAGGCTCGGCCAAATTCTGTTTTCTTAGATTTCAACAATAATATCTATAGGAGTCTCAACTCACCACTTTCAGTTAGATTACAACAATATGTAATATGACAAGAAATCAAAGCAAAAGAGCAAAATAAGTTGAAATAAAAAGACAATGGGTTCAATATGACGTTTGATTGAACTCAACTCAATTTTATTATCTTGTGCATTTTTTAGTCCAATTTTATTAGCCCTTTTAATTACTTTGCCATTCTTTAGTCATTTTAGTCCAAAAATGAAAGTTATGTCCACTAAAATAAGAAAAGCGTCAAACAAGGAGTTATTCTTGGTATGAGAAAGAGGTAATGCCCTGGTAATGAATCTCCGAAGAGATTAAACCATTCAGCATGAAAGCCATTCAGCATGGAATGTCTCTTTCTCGTGCTAAAAACAACATATATGGGACTTCAATTCACAACTTTCAATTAGATTACGACAGTATAAAATATAACAATAAATCAAAGCAAAAGAGCAAAATAAATAAGAAATGCAAGAAAATGAAAGGTTTGTGAAATTCACCTTCCAAGGAAATGATGAACTTCTTAGTTCTCAAACTTCCTTTTGATCACCCTCAAGTGTAGGACGTGTGTTCTCAAATCCTCAAATCCTCAATTCGAAATTATGGAGTTTATGATATGAAAAATGGCTAACTCTCTAGTTTTTCTCACTTTCAAGTACTAAACACTCTTCCTTATGATCAAGGCAATTGATCTTTGGCTATATCAGAATTTTTGGAGTGGTTTTGGTATATGGAAATGAGGAATTTCAATAGCTATGAAAGCTTGCAAGTGTTTTGGCTCAAGATTGAAATGGTTAATAGTTTCTCTCTTTTCTCTCTGACTCTTTCTAACTCTCTCTTCAATCAAATTTATTTTGTTTTTTTTTTTTTTGCCCCCTGAAATCTTTCCATTTGGTTGCTTTATATAGGCAACAAATACATAATATAATAATATAAATCTATATAATATATATCTATATATAATATAATATTTTTATTATTTTTCTTTTATTATATAATATAATATAATATAATATATAATTTATATAAAATACTAAACATCTAATATAATAATATTAAACACATATTTTAATATTATAATTTATTATTATTTTCTTTTATATATATAGAATATATAATTTATATCAATTTATATAAAAACACCAAAAATATGAAAAAACACATAAAATTATGCAAAATTACAAAAATACTAAACTAATGAAATATTTAATATTTTAAAGCAATTTGGCCATAATGGTGAAGGTTGGGATTAAAGTTCAAATTCCATCTTTCTTACTGAGGATTTTGTGAGAAACACATTCTAATTGTTATTATCGGGTAATCAAAAGAAAGCGCCCAAGCCTTAGGGCCGGTCAAAATGGGGGTGTCTACACCGGTGAAGTCAGAGAAATTTTTAAATTTCTCTGGAGTGTTGAGTCCAGGAGAGGCAGGGAGGGCAGAGAAATTTAAAATTTCTCTGGAGATGTAATTTTGTGAAAAGGCAGAGAAATTTCTCTGGGAGAGTGGGAAGTATATGGAAGGCAGAGAAATTTGGAGAAGGGGAGGGCAGAGAAATTTACAGTGGGAAGTTTAGGAAAGGTCAGAGAAATTACTAATTTTCTCTGTGATGTGAATTTTCTCTACATCAACTTGAGGGATCTTAGACATTATTAAACTATTGAATGTCCTTTATGCTATAAAATCTTAATACTAGGGACCTTAAAAAAAATTCCCCAAAAAATATTTGGTCTAAATTCTTTTTTGTTCTTACATAATTAAGTAACACATTTACTCCAAAAAAACAAAATTAATTCAGTTTAACTATAAAATTTTGAAAATATTTAAATTAAATGAATGCATATTTATTTTGTTTTATTATATCTATAAGATAAATAATGATGTATTTAGTTTACTAAAGGGTTTTCGACCATAAAGTTCCTCTATATAATATTTTATTATCAAAATGATAAGTCTATAAACTTTGTTGCAATAAGGACAATAATATAAGAAATGCATAATGCATAATTTATTTGTCAAAATATTTTTAATTTATTTTTAAGCTTTAAAATTATATAACTTTTTATGTAAATATCCAGTTTTAATAAAATTTGTATTTAAAAAATTCCTATAAGAGATTTGTAAAGTAAGATCCATGTTGATTATGAAACCTTGAATTGAATGCAAAAAAATCAATGAATTTTTATTGTTTAATTAACGTTGATACAGTAAATTTTTACTATTTTAATGTTAGCTTAGACAATGAAATTCCATTACGATCACAACAATGAACACTACATTTTCTAATTTTTTATATCAAAATCTTTAAAAATTTTAATATAAAAATCAAATAAACAAGACCCAGATTCATTTTAAAAATTTAACTTATTCCAAAAATCATGAAATTAATTTTAAAAGTTCTTAACTATATGTCTATGCGTTTGGATCCTCTAGAGTGATTTGGCGAAGTGATCCTCTAGAATGGTCTTTTATGATGCGACACCTATCCCTATGTTTACATGCATATGAAACACTTTTTAGAAATTCAATTTAATTGATTACATATATATGTATATATTCAATAATACAATGTTGTCACTACTTTAACCATCACCGCCACGATAATCTCAATATTTCTAATTTTTCATACCAAGTTTTTATAATTTTAAATATGAAATAAAACAAACAAAATCCAAAATTGATTTACAAAAACTAAAGTTGCTCCATAAATCATGAAATTAATTTTAGAAATTCTTAAATATATGTATAACACGCTTATGAAACAATTTTCTAAATTTCAATTTCATTGAGTAGATAAAGATAAATAAATAAAAATATTCATACAATGAAATTTCACCGTTCAAATATAAAAATAATTCCACTAACCTTCAATACAATGTCATCTATACAATCACCATCACTAATCACCACAATGATAATAACATTTCTGATTTTTCTTATAATTTTTTTTTAATTTTTTTTATTACAGTTTTAAATATAAAACTCAAATAAATAATAATCAAAATCGATTTTTGGAAAATCAACTTGCTCCCAAAACACATGAAGTTAATTATGGGGTTCCTAAATATATTTTGCTTATGAAACATTTTAATAAAGTCTAATTAGATAATAATAAAAAAGATTTTGTATATAGTGAAATTTTACTATTGTTTTATTGTGAAACATATAATTTGGGAAAATGCTTTTGTGATAGTGAAACATGGAAGGCATACACATATTCCTCTTCATCTGCTGCATAGATTATGAAGATCATCACTTTGTTTGAAAAAAGTTAATTTAGTTTGGTTTTTTAATTTTTTAATTAATTTAGTCTGGTTAAATTAATTTTATTTATGAAGAATTTTTGACTTTTTTTGGTTTAAATGTAATGGTTGTAAGAGAAAAAATAAAATAATTATGATTTTGATTTGACATTTTACCTTATTACCTTATTTAGTTTATTTTATTTTTTTATACTTATTTAGGCAAAAAAATTATTGCCAACCACCGATTATATAAGGCTTTATTTGGGATGTGAGTTGACTTTTTTATTTTTTGATTGTTTTGACTATATTAATCTAGAGTTAAAAAGTCTCATTTTGAATAAATTTTTTGATTTTTTTAACTGTTGTGAGAAAAAATAATAATAATTATAATTTAAGTGTAATATTTTTTAGACTGCGACTAAAAAATTTCTTTTAATTTAATCATTTTAACTCTAGTCCATCCCAACTCAACTTCTCAAACGAGTGCCAACATCATAAATGTCAACAATAATGAAAGATAAAGACCACATAAGTTAAAAAGGCAATCAAACAAAAATTATTAGAAAATAATCAAAAAAAAAAATTAAATCAACTTAGAAAATTCATTACCAAATGATAACTTTGTATCATGATTGCACGGGGAAACAATTTTGAATGACTTTTTACAAAAGTGACTTAACTATTAAACCATTAACGGTTTGTTTAGAAAGTTAGGAGTTGTTTTGGATGATCTAAATAAGTGTATTTTTTGATTTTTTATGAAATATAGTTTGGGTTTGGGTTGGGTTTGAAGTGATGTGTTAGAGAGGTGATGTGACTTAAATGAGATGATGTGACTTAAATAAAATAGTGACTTTTTGACTTTTTGAATTTTTTAAGAGTTGCCAAACTTAAAAAATCTTATTTGAGAAGAATTTTTTGATTTTTTGTGAAAGAAAGAATGTAATGATTATGAATTAGATGTGATATTTTGTCTTATTAGACTAAAAAACCTATTTTATTTTTTGTGTGACTATTTTAACTAAAAAAAACCCCAAGGTGGACTTCCCAAACAGAGGATAACCTGTTGTTTAAGATTCCTGATTTTTTTTTTAGTGCTATTATTAGCACCTACGAAAATTTTTTGGAGCCCCCATTTCTTTGGACCCCAATCCTAAATCCTAAATTTTAATAATATTTTTTTGACACCCCACTTATTACCAAATCTATCCATATTCACAATGAAATGCACACCCACCTGAATCCATTCTAATTCCCTCTCTTCTCTCTCTCTCTCTCCCTCTCTCTCTCTCCTCATAAGTGATGTCTCTTCTCTCTCTTTTCTCTCACTCTCTCAAAACTCCTTTTGTTCATATGAGAAAGTGAAGATTTTTCTCTCTCTTCTCTCTCTCTCTCAACATCCCTTCAAAACCCTAGTTTTTTCTCTCTCTTCTCTCTCCAACATTAACCATATCTAAAAAGTGGTTCCTGAAAACACAATGCATTTATTTGTGAGGTTAGTGTTCTTCGTCGATTAGGATTTCGACGGCGTGGGTCTCTTTGGAATTTGCCATTGATTGGGAAATTCAGATGAGAAAGTGAAGATTGATGCGAATTGTAGGAATAGAAAATAATGTATATATATATGGAAAACTAATCTCCATAATATTTCCATAATATTTTCAAAATAGAAAACTAATCTCCATATTTTCATAATGAAAAGCACACCCACCCAATTTGTTCACCACTGTATAGTAAAAAAAATGTATTTTGTTCAGAACTGTTTTGTCGAACAATAATGATCCTGTCAGTACTGTATGTCCGAACAAAATTTGTTCATCACTGTGTAACTTGAATTCATTCTAATTCACAACTTAAAATAACATGAATTAAATCCATTCAAAATACATAACTTAAATTCATTCCAGTTCACTCTTTTCCATTCTAAGTTAGTTTAACAAAGAAAATTACATAACTGACTATCTGCATTAATGTTCGGAACTTATGTATTGAACGAAAGGATTATGCTCAGTACCTGTGTTACCGAACATAATTGTAACAGTCAGCAAACTAGTACCGAACAGCTCGAACGAAACAAGAACGACCAAAAACGACCGAGAATGTTAATACAAGACAGATAAACGATCGAGAATGTTGTCCTCGTCCTCCATTGCTCCACACAGTGAAATAAGTGATGAAGTATACGTTATGCTTGAAGCAAAACTTTCAAGTTTAATAGTGTTGATGATGGTGATGAAGATGGCACGTTCAGGATTTAAGATTATTATGAAAAATAATAGATTTAGGGTTTATGTTAATTGGTTATGAAAAGTATTAGGTTTAGGGTTTACAAACATGGAATACGTATAGTTGGAGTTGGAGGTGGGGGTGGAGGTGGGTGTCCAATATTATAAAATATTAGTTATTATTGATAGGTGGGTGTTCCATTTCATAATGTCTTTTAATGTAATTTTACTTTAGGGTATAATTGTAATAAAAAAAATTATAAAATGGGGGGTCCAAAGAATTTTGACAGGTGCTAATAGCAGCACTCTATTGATACACTGATTAGTATACTAATAGATGCATAGCACTACCGATAAAATAATTATGACCCAAATATGATAATGGCAGTGT